CCCGGCCCGCGTGCGCGTCAGATATATGTAGTTGTATGAGGCTGATTGAGTAACCATGCATTCAATGAATGAACACTTAATTTTATCAATTCACCCTCTGGACCGCACTGATGGTTTTCTCGTTGTTCCAGTTCCTGGTTCTCCTCTCAGCGCTAGATTCGATATGAATAGAAGTGCTTGGATGTTACTCTCCCCTCCCCCCTAGGAGCAAGTGATGGCGCCGCATCATACTCTCTTTGATATTATCTACTATCTCTTCTCTGCCCTTTGTACACACCGCCCGTCGCTACTACCGATTGAATGGCTCGGTGAGGCCTTCGGACTGGCTAGGGTTGGCAATCAACTAAGATAACGACTTTTCGGCTCTGTTGATATGGCACACAGGACTGAAACATTTCAATAGTGCACTTGCCAGAAACATCGATATATCTTTCTCAGTAATTTCAAGAAGTTTACCGGGCACGGATGCAGCGACTCCAGTAGCAACTGCACTAGATTGAGTAAGGACCATGTCAAAGCAACCATTGAGTCAGACCGGAAGCCGAAGGAGAGAAATTAACGACCTACTGTTCAGGGCCATATTTCTCTGTTAGGATCTCGTCCACCCAGCGGACTATCTCCTCGATGTTTTTACCCGGCACGAGTGGCACATAGCGACCCCTCGCCTTATGCTCGTGCGGATAGTGTGGTTAACGAAGTGTACATATAATGGAACTTCACTTGTATATTCTCGAGTCTCTTGCCTTTAATGATGCTAAACTCCCATTCCCCCCCCCCAGAGTAACGATATACAATTGACCACCTCGGGGTTCTATGTCAGGTTCGAGCTTTGGAACATAGCCGGACAGTCCCGCATCAAACAGAAGGCATACCATAGCGTGCACCCGGCACTCAGAAGGTCACTGGTCATCTGAGGGGTATCAAGGGACGTTGGAGCGTGGATCGAATGAGCATAGTGCGCATCTGCAGGTCACTCACCAGGTTGGCGAACATCCTCGTCTTCCCCTTTCGATGTTCAAACAACCACAGAATTCGGCCAGCCATTCGAATGCATATGACGGTCTAGTTATTGACGCTAGTAATATCAAAACCAGCGAGGTCTGCCTGTTCTTGCTGGTCTTGGGGTTGATCAATTCGCGCTTTGCTGGAGCTGGGCAACACTCATAGTAAAATCCCGGTTTTGATTGGATAGCTCTGCACAGTCTTAGACTTTTGAGGAACTCGCCATTTTTATGATCATGACAGTTGGTGCATGCTTCTGGCGGAGGTTGTCCCTGAGACCGGATCAGCAGGACATTGATGTAACTGGAACGGTGCATAACGTCTGATAAGCTTGAATCCGGCCATGAAGGAACTCCTCTTGGAGAATTCGGTAAGCAGTGAAATCGAGATAGTAGCAACGCCGACGGAGAATTCCTAATCATTCAATGTAGTTAGTTAACATGATTGAAGTTTCAGTTCATCAAACGGTTCAGAAAGCAAAATTGCTGAGCACACTGAGGCATTGACTAGAGCTCAATCGCATCCAGAATGTCTTATAAATCATCTGGTTCTAGCTCTGCAAGAATTGACGTTTACATTGTCACTGCCATATATACCCATCCAAAAATTCTGCATAATCCTGCGCGACATGCAAAAAAAAAACCAGTTATTGGGTTCAATTCTCGGATAGTCGCTTAGAAACAGTAATGGCGACCTAGTGGTTGACCGAGGGCAGCTGACTTGTAGACATCCATGTCTTCCCAGCACCAACTCGGTCATCCAAAAGCCACCCGCGGCACAGTCGCTTTTATTCTGGTCTCTCGGTGTATGTATCGCAACCAGCTGCCACAAGTTGAATGCACAGTGGCCTTCATTTCAGGTTCCATAAATCTCATGTACATTCTTGATGTCCACAATGTGAAAGGCCTTTTCTCAAGTCATCCTCGAAAGAGTCCTCTTTTCACCTCCGGAATCTTGGACTGCGTTCTTAACTCAGTGGGGTTAGGGTTCGTGGCGATCCGTCAACTGTCCCGGTAGTTGGGGTACTCTTCGTATCAGTCATGAGTACCATGTCTTCAAGTGCTATCGACTTCTGCGGCCTATGGGAACCATGTACTGAGAAATATAATATATTCTATCATGCTAGAGGTAGTTATGCTCTACCGTATGCATATAGAATGTCAAGGATATACAGGAAGAAGATACCATGTAGTAGAGAATTGTAGCTATAAACATAAGAGCAGAAGATGATTAGAAGGGGCCCCAACCCTCCTTATATAGCATGATTGCAGCCGAGGCTGGATTCAATTGGGAAATTCAATCACATACCGAGTGAAATGCTAGAGCATGCCTTATATATTTAGAGACCAATACACAGCCGATCTCACAGTGAAAGCCAATGTAGGAAGCTTAGAAGTCAAGAAGGGCAGTAGATTACTTCACCAATCCTCCCAATGCCCTTAGTTATTCATGGCCTATCCAGGTGAATGGTTGGGTGATTCATGCTTTCCTTCTCATTCTTCAAGCATTGGCGAGAAAAGGCTATCTAAACCGAGACATCGCTCAGAAATCTGATCTTCCTAATTAAGTATAAGCTTCCACCACCATCATTGATATAGCCAGGTTTATTATCTACTCAATTCTCCTCTGACTATCGGCATGAACAAAGAGACATGTTATCTAAACGGGCGCTTATGAATCTATCGGAATATCAATTGTCTCCAGAAAGTCACAGTTTCTGGATCTTCGCCTTAGCAGGTACAAGAGCCGCTATCTGCTGACTTATAGCGATCAGGTCCATCCTTTCATCGAAAATAAGGACCTCCAAGTCCATTTGGCCGTTCAAGATTCTCTTGCACTCAGTCCGCAAGTAGAGCCATCGGACGCCCTCCGCGGGAAGCCTTTGCTTGATCTCTGTGGAGAGAGTCAAGGAGACGTTCAGCGTTTTGCCCCAAAAGTTTCTGGCGCCATCATCATTGAGAACTCTCCAATCGCTCCGTCCTTCATTGCGGGCCTTTTCTTGGCGCTTCGCAAACTCGAGCAGTGCCGCTATACTTCCCATCGGCATCGGCTTCCCCTCTCCGTGAGGGACATAGTTATCTTGAATGGGAAACGCCATGTCTCCGACAAAATGTATCATGTCATTAGTCCATCGGGCCTTGCCCCCACTTGTCCATGGCCGAGAGCCGAGCGGGAGATAGTCCCAACCCGGTTCAACCCATTGCTCGATGAATGGGAAGTCAGTGGGCAGAGCTCTCGGGATGAAGTTCTTGACGTAGGACTGGCCCCTTCGGAATCCTTCGTGATAGAAGGCGCAGTGGTAAGAGATCCAGTTAGGGTCACTGTCAGTCTCGAGTTTCGTGAGGTCCACGGGTGAGGGGGGAGTGGAGAGACGCCAGTCTGTTTGAAGTGTTATGCCCGTGATGGACAAGTTGGTGATGCTGTCAAGTATGTAAGCATCTGTTATTCCGGTATGGTTGTTTCCTACATACCCTATATCCGCAGACGCAGTGATCTTCTCATTCTGGAATGATTCGACACGGAGGGTAGACTGTCCTTTGCCGATGTTCACTTCTCGCAAAGTCATAAACAATGGTGCCGAGTCAAATGTCGGACGGTAGAATTGAACATAAGAATTTCGAAGGCCAATCTGAGTTTGCAGTTTGGGGTGTTGGGAGGCGTGATAGAGTGCGTATTTGGTCATTACGCTGGCTACATAGCCACCATAAATGACTACGACGTGGTCAGTGTCTCTTCACAAGTAGAATCCATGCATTCTGGTACGTACCAGAGCCGACCGCAATATCCGAGGGCAGCTGCACAGAGCATTGACGCGTAGATGAGAACGGAAGGTCCAACGCTTGGGACAGGCTTGTGGGGAGTGACTCCATTGGCCTTCCTATCTTCTAAACTGCTTTGGTTCTATAGAGGGTTTTAGATGGTTGTAAAATGTCCGAAAAAGTTGTGTGGGAGCCTGCTTGTCCATAAATACTCGAGGTGAGGAAGATCGGGATAATGATCCAATGAAGCGACGACAAGCCACGCAGTAAGCTGACATTTCGGAAGCAATTGTCTATGGTCAGCACACCAACATCCATTGAGGCTCAACTTTATAGCTGTGACAGGTAATCAGTCCCAGTATGGTTTTGGGTATTCATCTGACAATCTGTTACCCAACTAATTCCAGTCGCGGCCACTAGTAGTTCAGGAACTGCCTGGTTTAACAGCCCAACATTGCTGGAAAAGGGGCTGTGCCCCTTCTTTCTTTGTTTCCATCTGTAGGACCAACAATCCCAGTTCGAATTCAATTGCTCTTCTAGCCTAGCTGTGATAATACCCGTGTATGCTTATCTTCCTTCTGTGTCACCTTCTCCAGGTCATACTAATGCTTACTATATCTCCTTTCACTTTCGTCTTGGTGTTGGACAAGTGTCTGCTTCCTGGCTGGACAAGTGTAGCCGATGCTTTCAAGAATCCTTGCTTCTTCCAAACCAAATCTATTCAATAAGATACTTTGGACTTCGGGTGCTTGCATGTATTATCCACCTGCTAGGAGGCAGATGTCTCGTTACTTTTATTCCATCTCAGGACATCCACTGTAGATCAGTACCTCCCCGATTGTTCTGCATTTTAAGTCATCCTTCGTCTAAGAGTCATCTTATATCCTCCTCCTGGGATCTGCACGGGTTCTTTCCTCTGGTGTCTATACTTCGTCATATCGTTTGTAAGGCAAAGATGACAAGACAACAGCGTATTTACAAGGCTGTGTTTGACCGACATATTAGAATTGATACTTTACCGATGATAATACTATAGACATTTTATTTAATTTTGGTAAGATTGACAATCTATATTTGCCGAAAGGTAATTGATGCCCCTACACTTCCTGCTAGATCCCCTTCTGATTTCAATTTCTGTGGTGCGTCGTAGCCTACAGGGTATAACACCATAGCCCTAACGCTGAGCATTCCGTACCGTCAGCTAAGCTCATGCAAGGTCAGAAATGGATACTATATACATTACGCGTTGCATCCGCCTCTCGACTCAGGCTTCAACTGTCCCAAGGCGATTTGCCGAGACCTCCATTCGCTCCACTCATCCACCGTGCGGGTTTCTTCCTCTTCCCCGGGTAGTAAAGGCGGGATAACGCCCTCCTTCAGGCGCTGAAGAGACGCGGTTCGCTTAGCACGTACCAAATAGGCCACACTTTCTCGCTGCACCTTTGCCTGGTCCCCTGGAGCTGTCACCACACGGTGTAAGGAACTGCGCAGGACACCTCCCGTCCATTCCACCAACGTGTCGCCAACATTCACCACAGCACACCCGGGTTCAGGCTTAATGTAGCGCCAATTTTCTTTGATATTTTCACATCCAGCAGGTAGAATCTGGAGTCCGCCTGCGATGTTGAACAAAAGCGTCATGGTTCCCAAATCAGTATGGCCGCCGAACGATATGCGATCGTAGTTGGGATCAGTTTGAGCTGGGCTCCAGAGCAGGCAGACAACACTGTCGGATTCTTGGTTCAATGGACCCAATGCTTCGAGTGTCTGGGGCTCTATTTCCAAACAACTGTCCAGCTTGCATCTAGCACTGAATGAGCGTGTTCGATAAAGCGTCGGAGCTGCTCTTTGGTGGTGTTGATCACATCAGGGTGGAGGCGTGAGTGACTGGGGTTTCCTAACACTTCGTCTTGACTTAGCGAGTAGGCGTGGATATGGTCGGCGTCGCCATTGTCCGTCTTTATACTTCCTATGCCTTTATACCTGGACCAATGTTAAAGATGCAATGACATGAAAGGGATGGATACTGGGGAAGTATGTATCTCATAAAGTCCGGAGGTTTGTAGGTATAGGATTTCAAAGTCTCATGGTCCAACGCAGAGAGCTATCATGTCAAGTCAAACATTGCTTCCGCATCCTGCAGCAGAGTAGCCCCCTGATCTGATTCCCTCAAGTCCAACAGAAAGAATCCCCATTTCTGGCACGCTTCGAACAATTTCTCTACTTCTCCTGCCGTGTTGTTCTTCAACCCTTCGAGTGAGATCTTTGACAGTGACGCCACGGGAAGATCTGAAGGGAACGGAGGAATCCGATCGAAATATTCTTGAGGTGGCATGTTGCCAAATTGCCTAACAAGAAGTTCTGTCCCGGATGAACCCTCAAGCAAAGTGTACGACAAACAGCTCTGCCTAGGCAATTGGTAGGTGCGAAAAGATAGCAGCGAAGGGACAAAGTTGAAATGCGAGCACCTATAGTAGTGCCTTCTTCGGTCTTCCTCCTTAATCTCTTGCGATTGATTGCGAACTTGAGGAAGAACAAGAGTTACAGGACTATTTATAAAAGCCATCGATCACGTGCTGAACAGCCATTCACTCGTCACACGTACATCAAACGTTCTCATATAGCCATTGGGCTGTGAATAGTTTAAAATTGGACCAGTTAAAGAACGTATCCGAGGAATCACTGTTGTTCATTGAAGGCTGATAGTGATACTGTACATATCCCGGCATCAGCGGCAGGGGTGTGGATCCTGTGTTGGGATCAGCAGCTTAGTTATGCTTATACTTCTTTGTACTTCTTGTTGGACCGAAGGTTGTAATCCTGTGGTATAGTGTCTAATTATTTACTCAGTACTTATCAGTACTACTCTACGAAAACCAGATCTAATTGGTGCCCGGATGTTGTCACCAACACTCACTTACCCATCCAATAAGATTCCAGATTAGGACGACTGTAATGCTGCTGTGCGGAGATGTTCTAGACTTCCACATTCCAACACGATAGCAGTCATACAACACCTACATGCATCCCTTAATTCCCAATCACGTTATTTCTCACAGTACCTTCAAGAAGAACCCTGACTTATCCAGACTCAAACTATCCGATCGTACAACCCATCGCAACATACCACCACCTTGTCAGATCATACGATCCCGTCACTAATACTATAACCCCTCACGACCCCAACCAAACCTTCACCACACACCTACAACCTACACACAACATCCACCACCATCAGCATCCATCATCAAGACAACCTAAAGGACAGAAAATGACCCCCCAAACCATAATAATCGGCACCGGCCTCGCGGGCCTAACCACGACCAGCACGCTCCTAACGCACCACATCCCGGTGCTCCTCCTCGACCGGGCGCCCAAACCCGGCGGCAACAGCATCAAGGCCTCCTCAGGGATCAACGCCGCTCCGACGCGATACCAACTGGAACCGGATTCCATCACCACATTCCAACACGATACCCTCCTCTCCGCAGGAGTGCCATACACCTCCGCTAGAGGGGTAGAGCGCACCCGACGCGAGAAACTCATCGACACACTCACTTCTAAATCCGCGGACGCGCTATACTGGCTTACGGATGACATCGGAGTCGACTTGAGTCGAGTTGCCCGACTCGGGGGACATAGTGTATCGCGGACGCATCGAGGAAGTGGGAAGGGGACACCGGGGTATGAGATAATCAAAGGGTTATTGGGACGGGTGTCGGAGGATAAGAATTGTCGGATGGAGGTGGGGAGACGGGTTACGAGGATATTACGAGAAGAGGGGGCAGGAGGGCCGGTGATTGGGGTGGAGTATACTGTCCAGGATAATGAGGGAGGAGGGGAAGAGGGCAATCGGACAAAAACAGAGACGGCGTACGGACCTGTCGTTGTCGCGAGTGGAGGGTTTGCAGGCGATGCGAGAGGGCTGTTAGCGCAGTATCGGCCCGATCTGGAGGGCATACCGTCGACGAATGAGCAGCGTGAAGGAACGCAGCCTTTGCTGCAGGAGGTTGGAGCGGCGGTGGTGGATATGGAGCAGGTGCAGGTGCATCCGACGGGGTTTGTGGGAGGGAAGGAGGAGGAAGTGGAGGCGATGGTGAAGATATTGGCGGCGGAGGCGTTGAGGGGGGAGGGGGGTATACTTGTGCTTGGGGATGGGAGGAGGTTTGTGAATGAGTTGGAGACGAGGGAGAAGGTGACGGGGGAAGTGATGGCGAGGGCGGAGAGGTTGCCGACCAAAGCGAGGCAGTGGGATGTGAAGCTGGTGTTGGATGAGGGGGCTGCTGCGGCGTTGCAGTCGCATTTGGGATTTTATATGTGGAAGGGACTGGTTAAGAAGACGACAGTTGGGGAGTTGGGGGAGATGTCGGCGCTGGAGGGGACGCTGAAGGAGTATGCGGATGTGGTCGCTGGGAAGAAGCCGGATGAGTTTGGGCGGCAGTCGTTTGGAAACTGGACGCCGAGGGAGGTCAAGCCGGAGTCGGTGGTGTATGTGGGAAAGGTTACCCCGGTTGTTCACTTTACCATGGGAGGCGTGGTGATCAACGAGCGCAGCCAGGTGTTGGACGGTCAGGGGCAGCCGATTCCCGGACTCTGGGCGGCGGGCGAGATTACCGGGGGTCTCCATGGCCAGAATCGGTTGGGGGGATCATCGCTGTTGGAGTGCGCAGTCTTCGGTCGCATTGCCGGAGAGGAAGCGGCTGCTTATTATCATGGACTGAAGGAGACATGTTCCTGAGGATGTGCTTGATGGGAGAACTGGTGGTTGTGATGATCTGCGGATTGATTGTGATATTATGTATTATGCACGCTACAGTGGATATTGTTCGATAAGCTACTACGGCAGTTGTCTGATCGAAATTTACTGCTTGTTTGATCCTGTGTATAAAGTTCTGGGGAACTGCGCGGTTCATGCAACCTACTGCATCTCTTTACGATGGCCTTGTTTCGCATTCAACGCCTTACCTGGTGATGATGGTGATAATCATCATCAAGCAGTGTAACAAATCAAGGCACTAGTCATGAGACATTACATCTCACATCTGGCCAGTGCATTCCAATGGAACCGATCAGTTTCAAGAGTCGAACCACTGCACAGTGCATGCAAGCGCACTGTAATATCTTCGCAGTCACCCATTTCGCAGAGTGATCCCAATCGAAGGAAATTCTGCCAAGATTCCATGAACCCTGTCAAGATGATCATTGTCGCCCTGAATTGCATCATGGAGCCGCTGCATAAAAACTGGAGATAGTTAGATACCTGACATCAACGAGCAGGTGAAATAAAAGTGACGTTGGGACAGGCCACCGCAGCCCTTGCGAGGATGCGTTGATTGATTGGACGGGGGGGAACAGGCCCTGAGCACAGGGACCCATGACGTAGGACGCCGAAGGGACGGGCTTCTCGGTCGAATTCCGGAGAAAAAGAAAAAAACAAAACTAGAACCAACAAAGAGAAGATGAGCTGTAGCACCGCCACAACTCAAACATTACCCAGTCCGACTAGGGTCGTCGCCTCCACGGAGCGGAGTAAGTTAATCTGGTGGGCACCCTTCCCTTCTGCCTGGACTTGGAAGTGATGATACAACGCACACTTCATCCCACGCAAATGCACCAATGCACCGACCGGTCCATGGCGACTCGACGTGCTCTTCTAGAACTCTGAGCGTTCGATTGGAAGGTGCAGATACCCCTTCTCCTTACAGACAATGCAGCCCGTGGGAAATGGAATGGCTGGATAACCCAGCCTTCCTTTCGGCCGCGCCCTGGAACTGTTTTTCCGTCCTGACTCTCGCCCACGGTTACGAGAGAAATGGTAGCTTTCTCAATCAATAGATCGAAATTAGTGGGTGGCGGAAAACTCAGCAGCTTCCCCACATCGGACCAGACAACCGTGTTGCTGTGGTACCACGAGCCAAGTTGCCGTGATACACAGAGCTCTGTACTCAGTCTGATTGACAATGGGCGAATCAATCTTGGACTCTTCTCCAGCGTCAACGCTAGAGAGACGGCCAGAGTCGTGAGTGGCCCAGCCCTGTCGCGGAGGCAGCCAAATGTGGCTCAAGAGGGCGAGGGTCAGCCACACCGGCGGTGGGCTGATTTTAGTGGCAGAGCGAAGCACAAATCACCATTTGAGCCGGCGAAGATCGGCCCCATCGCGTCGATCCCCTGCATCCTGTCGGTCAAGGGCCCTATGCCAGTCTCTGCCCACTTCCTGGCCTTGCTTGGCCTGCCGGCATTCACATCTTGGGCATCCAGCATCCCCCTCCTCACTGACGTAGGTGGTGTGACGAAACTTGGCCTTAGCATCTCTCTGTCGTCGGATCTAGACTTCCCTAGTGTCAGTCGGCAACCTGGTTCGTAAATTGGGGGAATTTAGTAAACTAGATGCACTAACAAAGTGAGAAAAGGCCCTTCTCCCTAGTTCGGTTAGCAAAAGAAAAACTTAATCGACTGGAGCTTGGGATTGTTGAGGGAAAGTGGGATCAACAACCGGGGGTATCTCCAAATCCCTAGATCCTCAGCCACTCGGCGCAAGCGAGGGTTTTTCCCTTCAGCCTATGAGAGGCACGCAGGGGATACAGTGGATTCGAGTTGAGCCACGGTGTTTGGGTCTGATCATGATAGACGATGCCCCTTCCCTTTAGTCCAAGATTAAGGCCAGGGTGGAGCAGCCATGACTGCATGGACTGGCCCGTGACGGTGTCCTGAGCCACGTTGGCGCGCTGGTAGCCTGGTAGATGGGGTTCTGATGCCTTTGCTGATCGACTCCAGAAGCAACCAGAGACACGCAGAAAAAAAAATTAAAAAATGAAATTCGAAATGAAATCAAAATTGTGAAAAGCAAAAAGCAGTAAAGTAAAAACAAGCAACGCAACTACTCCAAACTAGTAGATTGACGGCAAACGCCGAAGTGAACGAATCGAGTTGTCGGTGCGGCAAACAAGGGAAGCTGCGGGCCCTGAATTTGGATTTGCACTTGTTGACTCTTTCCTGCCTCCATATTTAATCGGCTCTTGTCCCCTCTCCCTCTTCTCTTTCTTCTCTTTCTATCTCTCCAAGCAATCCATCCAATCCCATCATCTGTCTTTCGCGTTCATCTTCTTCGGTTGATACCCCATTCTTCGCGCCGTCGCTCTTCGATTTCTGCTCTTGCACGTTTCCATCTTCTTATCACAATGAAGACCTTCTCGCTCTCCCTCGCTCTTCTGGCCGCTGCCAGCATGGTCAGCGCTGATGTCTCCGTCAGCGACTGCGCTGTATGTGTACCCGGATGTGACTCTTATTGACACACATCACTGACCAGCGCGCGTCTTTAGCAAATGTGCCTTAGCAACATGAACAACAAGGCTTCTGAGCTTGGCTGCTCCAGCGGCGACATGTCCTGTCTGTGCAGCAAGCCCGACTACAGCTACGGTATCCGCGACTGCACCGCTCAGGCTTGCCCCAATGATGACGCCAACGCCGTTGTCTCGTCGGCTCTTGCTTCTTGCCCCACTTCCTCTGGCAGCTCCGACTCCGCTTCTGCTACTGGTGCTTCTAGCACTGGCTCCGGCGCTGGCGGTGCTGGATCTACCACCTCTGCCTCTTCGGCTACCGGCAGTGGTGCCTCGTCTGCCTCTGGAACCAACAGTGGTAACACCAGCGGTGCCACGACTGGCGCTACCACCAGTGGAGCGGTAAGCTTAGTATACTCGTGATACCAACGTCTTGAAGCTAATCTCTTGCAGACTTCTGGTGCCACCTCTGGTGCGACCACCCTGAGCACCATCACCAGCACGAGCACTAGCACCGGCACTGTCTCTGGTCAGACCACTCTCAGCACTATCACTGGCACCAGCACCAGCACCGGTACTGTCTCTGGTGCCACCTCCGGCTCTTCTGGCAGCTCTACCTCTGGCTCTGGCTCTGGATCTAGCTCCAACGGCTCTGGCGGCTCTTCCTCTGCTACCGGAACTGCTCCCTCTTCCTCCGAGACCACTGGTGCTGCTCCCAAGCTTAACGTTGCCGGCAGTGGAATTGCTGGTGCTCTTGGTCTCGCTGCCATGTTCCTTCTCTAAGTGACTGGGTAAATGGCTTGATGGCCTGGATACTACAGGCGCCAAGACGGGTCTGAAATCCTGACTTGGATTGTTTTACTATTATGGTTTACGACTTCTACGCTTTGTTTGCGGCTTGTATATGTTAATAGGATGGGTCATAGCATAATGACTAGTAGATAATATGCCGACTGCCCAGGATCATGATCGTGGATATGCAGCAGCATGGATGGCTAATGGATGGTTTAATGGATAACCAGGTTGATTTACACTCTTTCTCGGTCGGTTAGGCAAAAATATGAGTCAATAAGCTCTTTAAGATCATCAACGAAGCCGCGTAATTGATCATGAGTAGCTGCAGCATGATGGCAATGCTTATAGACTGGAATAAGGAGGGGTATTCATGATGTGGTGACGTAGACTGCAGAGTGGCATCAAAATGTGATGTGTAACAGTCAATCCGCCGCACTGTACCTCGGAAGGTAAGCATCCACGCAGAGGATGCGCGATAAGCTCGAGAGTTCTGCATCTCGATGACATTGTGACTTGAGCTGATTGTGGCTTTGCGGAGAAGATTTTTCAGAAAGTCTATCGCGTCCTCTTTATTTATAGCTCGACACACTTCAACTACATGTCGCTGTTTGATCGGATTATAGGGAGAGTTCTGGTAGAGGACTTGTCTTTCTATATTTATCTTCAATTGAGCGGCAGCGCATGACCTATAGCCAGTTCTGCATGATGTACTGAATACATTGGGTACTTTTTGGTCGTTGCAACAAGGTTATCGTTATGTAGTTAGTAAGTAGCTCTAAATTGGTGTGAATAAAGGAATACTAGTAGTAGTAGTAGTCGTAGATAATATTGGGCTTGGCAGTGTGGATATATATCTGCGCATCAGACGCCCTTGACACTGATGGTACTAATCCATGCAAGATTCTAAGAGGGACCACTACATCGCTATATTAGATACTTTCCAGAATACAATATATACATTTGACGTTGAGATTGGTAGTAAATTGCCATCCTTAGTGCCTGCTCTAATCTATAGCCTTGAATTAGATATACTAAGGGTTGACAAAGTAAACGCCAATACCTAGAGTCAGATCATGGCCCTGGATTGCAGTCGCTAGTCTCTACTGCTGTGAAGCCAGGTAGCAATTTATCCTACTTATAAAATTATCTCATCACTTCCTCTTTAAATAAGGGATTATATTATCTTCAAGGATGCGAAGAAAGGGAGTCCCGGTCAGGTGACCTTACTCCTCCTGCCGTCAGCCACAGGCATCAAGGCACTAAGGCATGAAGACAGCAGTCGTATCCATATCGTCAACAGGTAACCGATACGAGAACCGACCAACCACCCTCATGCAAAGCACGGTTCAATTTGAAGGGTTATTTTGTTCTAATCCGAATGCCCGAATTTTCCATAGTGCTAGTATAGACTAGAACGAATGGTAAATCTATATACGAAGATAAATTATAAAGTCCAATGATCCTGGTTTGGAAGTTATATCTACAACACAATTCAACATACTACTCATACCATACTACATCCCAGCACTACTCCCCAACATTAACACAAAACAAGCATTAAATAATAACAACATGACCAGCTTGACCAACCTCATCAATTCATCTGCCCGCCCCCCCCTCAAACGTCGCCTCCACATCCTCATCGCATCTCTCATCGTCCTGACCTTCATCCTCATCATCGCCCGTCTAGCAACCCCAGGCACACCAGCAACTCGCACCAATATCTGGGGTATAGCAGTGGTACAATCCTCTTCCCCCTCATAAGCATTCTCTCATTTCAATTACACTAATTAGAATTAACAATTGAACTGAATGGATAGTGCCTTAAAGCCGCCCTCTTCCTCACCTACCAAATCCTAACAACCTACAAAGCCCGCTTCAAGCGATGGGCCAGTCTCAAAGCCAACATGGTACTAGATATCATCGACACGGTATTTTGGTTCGCTTTGTTTATTATCAGTATTATGGGCGCGAGCGGCGGACGTAGTGTCGCCAGTAAGGCGTTGGGTGCTGTCGTGGCTATTTTGGCGTTGGTGTTGTGGTGAGTTTCATTAGACCAAGACCAAGACCGATTGTGATGGTGTGTTTGGAGCTAATGAGTTATACAGTGGTGTTGTGGGTTTGTTGTCGTATCTTTGTATCTTGGATTATCGGTATTTCAAGGCTTATGGGAAACTTGATGGTTATGGGAGTGAGGAAGTGAAGGGGGAGGTGGTTGTTTGATGGGGGTATAGATATACTACTGTATATTGCTGATTTTTATAATCTAGCGTAATGTTCATTTCGAAATGTCTCTTTTTCTAATCTCCATCATATTTGATTGATGACAAAGTAAGTATATTAGATTTTAATAGTTGAGTCTCCTTATCACTTTGCTGGTTCCACTTTCAAGTACCTCCTAACCATAAGCGGTAATGAGTACGAGTACAAAGAGGCATCTACAATAGATGATAAAGATTTTGCTTGAGTTGGTATTGTGGTCGTCTGTTCGTATAGTTTCCCGTTCTAGAGAGAGAATTGGGATAGAGCGGTGAAATACGAGAGTTGAGATCCGGGTGCTACTTAGAGAGAAGAGGAATCATAGGTGTGGGAATCAATGGTACAGTATGCATGACAACTAATGGTTATATTGAAACACAAGGGAGAAGAACGAGAAGAAAATCGTAAATCGATAAAGCAGAAAAGCAGTCAAAAATTTTTCATCGCCTCCGGGCGCAGCATCTCCACCTGATCCTCCTCCATGTCCATCATCTTGCCATAAGACTTTGGACGAGCCGAGAGAATGCGACTCGGATGCATGACATTGAACAGAACACAACACAAGAACAAAAACAGGGCATCAAAAATATACAGAAACATCTCACTCTGTTTCAGAACGCCCTCCGAGCCCTGCACATACTCCACCACACGGTAGACGGACCGTACCATGATCAGAACACTAGCCGTGTACAAAATGCGCATATAGGTGTGCCATAGCGGTGTGAAAGTCAAGGATACTTCAGTCGGTGAAGCAGCCATACGGCGATGGAAGACCACAGTGACGATGATGAAGAAGCTGAAAAAGACCAGTTGAATAATAAGGCCGACCACAATGATGTTATTACCCAAGGAGATCTTGCTGGGGGTTTTGGCAGAGGCCATCATTCCGCCTCCGCCACTTTGGATGAAGAATGAGAGTACGTCGCCGGTTACGAATATCTTGGTCAGCCATGATGGCCGGATCAAAGAGTGTGAACCGCCGTCGAGGAGGCGGATGATTCGGCCCAGGATCATGTAGATGGAGGCGGAGAATAGGGCGGGGGCTAGAAGGAGAAGCAGTTCTTGTCCGACGTAGGGCTTCACGGTCCAATCTGGGGTCTCTCTGGCGCTGAAGTATCGTGCAATGTATCCGAATGTCTCGACTAAAAAGGCCCAACGTATTAGAAGGATGACACAATAGAGGGATGAGGGAACCCACAGAAGCCACCAATAACGAATGGTACAAAACACCATGTCCGCCTGCGGATCAGCTGGTAAAGATGCATTATGGAGGTTGCAGCGAACAGCCCGGCAGAGATAATAGCAGCGCCGACAGAGGGCTCATAGTCATAGAGCTTGTAGTCACTCGACATGATTGAAGCTTTGGGTCATGAACGCTTGAAAAAGCAGATGTTGAAATCCCCAGAAAGAGAGAACTTGGAGGGTAGAGAGAATTAAATAAGTAAATGACAAACGCTACGCACTGGGCAGGTGGATCTCCACTGCGTAGCTTGCACGTTTATGCCATGGAGCTAAATGTTCTCCGCTCAGGGGCGTCCGTAGATATCCACAGGGCTTGGGCTCTCATGATTACTGTTGTAAGCTCAGCGAACACGTTGGGAAAGCCCGAGAGCGATTCTGGTGGGTAACCAGTACGTAGTACTAGGTGACTAGTCCGTTGTAAAGCAGTCAAAGCTTCAATGTGGATATCACCCTCACTCATCATAAAAGCAACCAAGATCATACCGTTGCAGTGATTCCTTTTTACAAAATCCTCTATTTCATTCCATTGAAATTGCAGACTATTTGGTATAGTAAGATCACAACCGATCCTGACAACATCTCACTCATGTCCCATAATGACTTCGCATATACGGTGCTACAAAGAAAAACATCTGAATGTTGCAGGTTCATGGGTGTAAGTAACTTCCAGCCGTCTCAGGGCTACCAACAGGTCACTGTATTCACCAAGGTTGCCCAGCCACTAGTAAGACGGCACAGTAGGAACTCCCCGCTGATGGTACACAGATTGGTAAAAATATCATCCAGCGGGGATATTTCGGTGAAATTGACATGACCCTGAAGCCACTCGGGGCGTTGATATTGTTTGCCAAGGAATGTAGGTTGATGGTGATCCATCCCCCAGCTATGGCGATTGCAGTTTAATGGACTCATGTATTCTCAGAATCTTCGCCCATTAGTAAGTATGATTCACAGAGAGGGACATTTGACATCAGCCGTAGAACAATTGATCAGAAAAATTAACATCTAACTTCCGGGACGATCGTCCTTCCCCGTCCTTCGTTTTTCGTATCTTATACCCGATCAGTCGAGCACGGGTCATTTCGAACAACAGCTTGAAAAAGATAGGCCAATTGGCGTCTTTCTAGAGACAAGTGAGGTGAGACATTGACGGGAGACGTGTGGGGACTAACTCTATTTATATTCTGTATGGTGTATATGTGTCTGTGCCTGAAACAGCTTTTATGGATGAATCTGGTCATCAAAACGGCCAGCACGGTGATCGACATAAATTCAGTCTCCGCTGTCCATCAACTCCGGTGTACGCCCAAAACATTAGGGGAAAGAACCAAATGCCACGTGCTTTGGCGGCCAACTTGCCAATCATTGAGCATGGAACCTAGAACTCCCTACTAACCGTCAAAGCACACTTCGTGTTTTGGTTTCCAGTATTTCGAGTGAGAAAGATCAGGCCTGGGGTATTTAGATGAAGCAGATCAAATACTGATCAGTGACACTCAGGGTAGAAATTCCCCAGACTCAATACACCAAGTTCCATGAGAAGCATTTGTCAATCGCCCATCTGTCCAGGGCCAAAACAGTGACGAACGGAGATAGCGCTGAGTGTCATGCTCACATTGAATCGTAAACCCCTGATCATGCTTCTTTTACGCCAGCTTTAATACTACATGATACACATAAAGACCGGCATATACTCCGATAACCCCAGACAGTCTTTATAGCTACACTCCAACCATTAGAGTGGAGAAATCGGCCCGGCCTCCGCACATATGCTTATCCTTATCAGCTCAATTCTCCTGTTTAGTTTATCGTATGTGAAGCTTGGCAGTTAGTAGCTGCCAGTTGACTAGCTTCCCAGCAGCAGAATGACGACGAGACACGTAAGTTGAAAGTGCATGTGAGATGATTTCACGCGCCGTGGGGCATGGACACTAAGTTCCTGCCATCCGTTGCAGAGGTCGTCAACGCTGATTGAGGGAACCAAAGCAGAATTTACTGTCTGTAGTAGTGCTGGGGATATTATTTCTGAAGAGAACATGTCGCTGATTCAACGAAATTTTTCTTAGCCGCTAGAATAACCGGCTAGTGCCTGCCCAGCGTCATAATCGGTGCCATCGCTTCGCCAATTGGTATCCGGACTCCCTAAGAATATTGATCACCTCTGGGGTAGTGGCGACGCCCTTCTTTGGTCAGAACATGTCAATAACTGTGAATCCGGACCTTGATATTATGCGAGAGATATAACCATCTAAGTTGATTGGTGTAAGCCAAGCCTATATAATTGGTGATTGAAACGCTGTGGCTGAAACCCATTGTGTTTTGGTAGGCTTGAAGAAGGATATGCCAACTTGTGCACCCTATCCCGAACACGATAAGCTGAGGTGCCCCTTTTCTGCCAGGTTTTGCACGGGGGGTCCTTCGTTACTGGTCCAGGCAATCTACACTAACACCAGTTCGTGATAACGGCGATGCCAGGGTCCATTGTAGCGTGCTTGGTAGTAGAAAGAACTGCATTCGGATCGGGGGATGGTAGCGTCCGAGCAAAGAAAGCCCCGACTTGGAGTAGCGCCAACAATCGGCAGCCTTCTTATTGGCGGGTGGTGACGCGGAGCCCCACTACAGCAGGCGTGATTACGAGCCGCCGCCCATTTACTTTGTAGCTAGTCCCAAAATAGCCTTGTTACTGCCTGCAATTGCTCGTTGCCGCCTGATCCTGGAGGGCGAGCCTTCTCCCATTTATTCCTCTGCTTCCTCTTCATCCTCGCTGCTCCATTCCCATCTGACTCGGCCGTTCTTCTCTATCGTATCCATCAAAATCATCAGCTCTATTCGACCGTGGTATTATCCTGCTTGACTCCATCACAATCATGACCATCTCTTCCCTCGTCCGTCGAGGTGTGGAGGCCGCCTTGGAGCAGCCTACCCCGAATCAACCCACCATCCATTTCGCAGGATGGCTGTCAGCTCTGTTTGTCTTCACGGTCCTCGCCTTTATCGCTATCGGATTTTCGGTAAGCTGCATACTGCCTCTGAGCTGATTTTTGACGGGCACTGACACGTACTCTTAGGTGGAGTACACTTATGGAATGCTGATCCCGACCCTCGCCGCTATCGAGGATTCCAACCCCGATGTCTACGTCCGAATCGATGGCAACCTTGACGCGAACAAGCCTGTCGATGCGAACGAGCCCGATACCGAGCCTGTGATCGAAGCTCCCCCTCCGATGCCCATCACCAGCAAACTCCGCACCACGATTCAGCACCTCCGTGCCCGTGCCGGTTTCCTCTCCCGCTTCCGTGGCTTGAGCATGCTCGTCACTTATGGTCTTGCACAAGGGCTGGTCTTCTCCATGATGCCGTTCTCTATCAACGCATTCTTCTCTCAGTTTGTTGTCGGCATGATCTGCAGCGTCGCATTGGCCAACCTGCAGTTGGCGTGGGTTCACATTGTTATCTCCGAGCCTTCTCCCAAACGTTTCTACCAGCGGATCCCCGGTTTCGCTGCCTGGAAGAAGATCGCTCCGGTTGTTGCTTTCGAACATGCCGTTACCAATGCTGCATACTACATTCCCCTGATCCTGATCAGCGCTTGCAACGGCTTCAAGAACATTGAGAACCCCTCCGGCGGTGACTCCCCAGCCAAAACTCTCGCCGGCGCTGCTACGCTCGTCTCCCTGCCAGCCCTTCTCTCTTTCGTGGTGTCTATTCCCGCCCGGGCCATCTTCATCCGCGTGGCTGCGTCTATGCTCCCTGAGGAGGATGAGTCGATTGTGCCTTTCGACCGTTCTTTCGGCGGCAAGGTCTCTCCCGCCATTGTCGGCGGCAGCGGCAAGCTGAGCATCATGGATGCTTGGAAGACCTTCGACCGGCCTGCTCTGGTCCGCTTCGTCAAGGCCATCGGCAAAGGGTTCGCTATTGAGGTTGCCGTGGCTGCGTTCTTCACCACTCTGCTGGTTGCGCAGGTTTGGGCTGGAGCGGTCACCTATGGCTTCGCTGGAAACAACGCTTAACTACAGCCGAATGCCTTATAGTGTGTACAGATCCAAAACAATCAGCTACGACTCTGCTCTTCTGCATGACTCTATACATAAGTCCTCGTGTTTGATGATATAGCGCTTACATGATACTCCCTATTCCATCCATGACGTAGTTTGAACCTGTGTAATGCGATTAAAATTGAGCCATCTCGTGCACGGATGAGTCGTTGGCGATCATTCTTACAGCTACCCCTATTCGCCCATATTTCTTTGTTTGCCCTTCCCGTCGCATCGGGCAGGGCTAAGCATGGCGTGTGACACAAGAGGGGACTTGGGGGAGAGTCGGGGTCCGGGGAGTAAGCGTTATCCCCTCACTTGGACCAAAACTAGTTACACACAGTACAGTGAGAGTTTCCAGGAGGGTAAGGTAGTAGACTAGATACCATCTTCACCGGTTTGCTGCATCATCCTCGACTTGCCTTGGACCAGTCACATATCATAGACTGGACGGGCCATACCCGCCAGGTACTCACGGCTACTACTTGTAGTAAGTAATACCAGAGCAACGCCACCGAGGCGCACCATTTGAGTTATTATCGCAGCCCACCCCGCTCCCCCACTCACCGCCCGGCAGCGATTCTTTCCCATCCACTACTAACTGCCAGTCTCTTCGTGACCCTCGGTCTACTTACCTTTCCTCCTGCTCATTTGCTCTCTGTGTTAAATCACCCTCAGGGTAGTAGTCCCTCCTATTCTCCTTTCCCTCCTCTTCCTCTACTCTTTACCCCCCTTGGCCACCCTCTACTCTATCAAGGGTTCCCTCTCTTCTCACCATTCAACCCCTCTTGCATCCCCTCATCGTATTATCGGCTCAACGCCCCTCCTCTCCCCCTCCTTACCCCTCCCCGGTATACTCTCTCCACCATGGCCACAACAGCAGCAGGTCGCATGCTCTCCCGCCAACTGCAGCAAATGCAGTCGGACAAGGACATCCCCGGGATTAGCTGCGGATTGGTCGATAACAATGTCTTTGAATGGGAGGTCATGCTTATGATCTCCGATGATGTCAAGTTGTATGGCGGTGAGTAAAGTTTGGGTGGGAGAAAGCCTGAATGAACATCTCCAAATTCTTTCCAGGGGCTTCTCATACTGATGTAAAATGAATAATAGGTGGTTTCTTCCGTGCTCGTCTCTCGTTTCCTCCGGACTACCCTCACATGCCGCCGAAAATGAAGTTCGAGACGCCTCTGTACCATCCTAACAGTACGCCTCACCCTGTACCTTCCTAGTCGCCCTTGTGTTCTCTTCCAAGGCACAAGACAATCACAGAATACTAATTTGACTGTGTCAACAATATAGTCTACCCCAACGGTGACGTCTGCATCTCCATCCTTCATCCCCCAGAGGAAGACAAGTACGGCTACGAGTCCGCCGCGGAGCGCTGGTCCCCCGTGCAAACACCCGAGACGATCCTCCTCTCCGTTATCTCCATGCTCTCCAGCCCCAACGATGAAAGCCCCGCCAATGTTGAGGCTGCACGGTTATGGCGGGAAGACCCGAAAGAGTTCAAGAAGAAGGTGCGGAAGTGCGTACGGGATAGTCTGGGAGAGGAGTAAATGAGTTCCTCTTTCCCTTATCCACTTTTATCAAACCTTGAGTCAAACCACCCAGTCATGGTTTGATGTGAATTACATGGAACAGAGACGGAAATGGGTCAATATGGGTTTTTCTTTTATGTTGTTCGTTGCATGATAGAAGGACGCTTGGTGCGGTTGATTCGGCTGATGGTCTATCTATTCACTTACGTACGGGATATATGCATTTGTTCCCTTTCGCCTGACAATACTTGTTGCTGATGCGGGGAGTTTCTTCTCTTCTTTTTTTCGTTGTTGATTGGTCTAAGATGGAGTTTAATTTCATTTTCTACTTTACTTCCATGCTTTTCTTCCTTTCGTTCTTTTCTATTTCAACCTCCCATTGCACTCGCCTGATTTTCCTGGTGCGCTGTTCGATCCTGGTTGTATATCCTTTTGGGTGTAGGCGGGTTTCCTTTCCCAGTGAATATACTTGTGGTATAGGGGCTAAATACACGGACCCACTGACTTTTGCCTGCTGAAGTATTCCTCTGTGGTATAAAAATGAGTATGCATAGTGGTGAAACCATACCGAGATACCGGTAGTAACTGTAATTTTCATAGCTGCAACGATGCTTTGTAAACGGGTATCTATTGTACTATACTTGTAGGATATACACTAAAATATCGACTCTTGTATATAATTAAGCTTTAGGCGTCTTCTTCATCCCCTTCCGGATAGATTCCAGGAAAAATCCAGGGTAGAAGTACGTAAGGCAGCTCACGGCGATGGCCATCATCCTATAACTCCGATCAGTATTTTCCGTACTCACGATATAGAACGGGACGGGAGCCATGATTGAAAGGGACACTCACATTCCATCAAGAACCAAGAACTCATTCTCCTTCTGCATGAGCGGGTTACCCCATCCACCGGCCATTTCAGGGATACTGCATATACCACGTTAGCATCTCGCAGCGTACCTCGCTTGGGGAGGTGATAGTAGAGGGGGGCAGTATGCAAGCATACCGATAAATACACCGAATCAAAGTAGCAAAGTAAGCCACAATGCCGGCCCAAATAACGAGTCTGAGGTTCTTCGGCCCAGTGAGGTTTCCGTTCTCATCAATGAACTTCTCGCCGCCCAGACCGGGTCCCTTTCTGACGACACGGATGAAGAAATCCAACGCCAACAGACCACAAACTGACATCGTGCCCACCTGGAAGGCGATACCCGCTACCATGATATCATCGCCCACCTTGAGCAGACTCTGGTTCTCGCTGCCTGCTGCCGCGGCAACACCACCACCTGCGGCTTGGAGAATGAGTGATCCGACGTCACAGCTGATGAAGATCCAGGTGAAGAGCTGGGGCTTGAGACGCGAGTATTCCGGGCCCAGGGAGAGAATGACGTGTTTCAGGGTGAGATAGATACCGGCGGCGATGAAGGTCGGGGCGAGCACGAGACAGACGATTTGAAGTTTGAAGGCGCCCTGGTCCCAGGGGTTGTGGTTCATTAGGATTCGGCCGATGTATCCTGCGAGTTCCATGTATCCGCCGATTACCATTGCGACCAACATTGTCCAGGAGCGATAGTAGATGCCGAGACCGAGTTGGAGGGTACCGAGTAGGCCGAAGTAGATGGCGAAGAAGATGTTACCGCCTAGGTTGGGGTAGTAGCCGTAGGTTGTCGCTGTGACGGGACATTCTGGCGTGACGTGCGTGCAAGTGATGCTCATCGTGATGGATTGTCGTCCTCTGGTTCTGGTGGTCGTAAGAGTAGTCGTGTATCGGTGTAGGGTAAGGAAAAGATAGCTGATATAGGTGGGATAAATGAAAGAAAGTAACAAGCCGCTATGAATAGGTCTATATGCAATATACCATGCAATATATGCAAGCAAAGGGGAAAAACGAGGGAAAGAAAGAAACAGATATGTAAGATGACGCCGGCTCTGACCCTGATAGATGCGCGCACATATTGTATGTCAGCCTGATGGGGATCAGACCTATTAATATAAGACAGTCGAATAAAAATTATAGTCGACCCGTTCTTTATCCCGATTTGCCGGGCCTTGGAGACGGTCCTCTGCCTGGTGGATCGGTCGTGTATAAATTTCATGGCATGACAACGCCGATTGGTTCGCTTTCGTTCTCGTTTTCGTTTTCGTTCTCGCACTACTCCACCGGCTGTATCGGTTGGCTCGACCGTTATCGCCGATGGGGGAATTCCTCCGGCCATGCACTTTGTTCCTTGCAAGATGGAAACAATTTGAGCTCGTATCCCTTCGATCTGTTCGTAGATATCATTTGGTCCTAGTCATCAACGGACTGTTCGAACAACTCCCACCCATTCTTCCCGGAATTCATATTGTCGATGGAGATAAAGCGTGCCTGGAGAAGATTCAGTGAGCATTCATTTAACCGACTTGATAGCGGCCGTTGTGGGGACTCACGGCTCCACCTGTGTCATTGCGCCCCTTTTGCTGCTGGGTTGGAGAAACAACACACCCAGAGGTGAAACAACTCATTCTGTAGATAGTTGCAGCAGCTCTCGGCATGCCGATGCCCAGCTTGCATTGTCCCCAGGAAATCTCATAGCTTAATGAAACATCTGCGCTTGTGGAGGGTTTTGATAGGTTGTCATCACGTGACATCGGAGAATTAGTCACCCCGCGTCGGCACGTGGAGCCGCTTAGTACAAAGTAGTCATTCATCCACTCGAATTATTTTATCGTCGGGCGGACGATGATATTCACCGGCAAATAAGCGTCCGATATGCTCCATTATCGAAAATAGGGCTGAATTCGCAGGATATGAGAACGCTGGGTATAAATTGAGGGGAAATGCCACCTAGAAGGACCCATACCAAGTCACGCAATGGCTGTGACCAGTGTAAGAAGAGACGCGTCAAGGTAAGCATCATTCACTTTCATACTTCTCATATCCCGCATTCCCGGGCGCCTGAATTGAACAGCCGAAAGGGCTCAATCCTGGAACTATTTAGTACCCGTCTAATTCACTATCATCCCCGCAGCACTCTTCTAAGTTCTAACGGCTGTAGTGCGACGAACGAGGCCCACCATGCTCCAATTGCATTAGCCGGGAGCTGGCATGTACTTACTTTAAGACCCCGGCGGCACGCAAGGAGACAACATTATCAACAAGTCCTGCTCCTTTGCAGTCAATAGTAGCTCCTTCTGAGGCAACATTCCACGCCAACCAGCCCGTCTCCCGCCATGGATCTTCACCGCCAAACTTTGCTTGCCTGCGGGAGCTTGAGCTAATGCACAAGTTTTCCACAGAGACGTATCTGAGTTTATGCAATGAACCAACAGATCACCATGAATGGCAGTATGTTATCCCTCGCAAAGCTTTGCAGCATGACTTCCTCATGAGCGGGATACTAGCGGTTGCATCTCTCCATATCGCGTCGACACTTGATCCACCAGAAGCGCTTT